AATTCATAATGGATCAATTGAACTCAACAGTGTCTTCATTGTTGGATGCAAATTTGATTGCAACAATAGATTATATCACACTTCAACTCGTTCGCTACTTTTCTATTTTTATTTTTCTTTTTGGTTCGATTGGAAATATTCTTAATGTTTTGGTTTTATCTCAACGAGCATTTCGTTCTAATCCATGTGCTGTACTTTTTTTATTCTCATCAGTGGTGAATTTTATTGCTATTCTTTCTGGTCTTCTTTCTCGAATATTGTCTGGTTGGGGAGCTGATCTAACAGCAACAAATCGTTTTTTTTGTAAACTTCGTGGCTTTGTTGTCAATATTACAAGATCAGTAGCAATTTGGTATATACTTTTTGCTATAATTGATCGATGGCTTTTGTCAAGTCCTAGTTTACAGCATCGACAAATGAGCTCATTGAAAAATGCTAAGCGTGCTATGATTATAAGTTTTATTGTAGCTATCTTGATTTTTTCACATGTTATCTATTGTCATGAGCCAAATCTTATTAATGCTCCACAAAAATGTTATGGTATAACAATAGCATGTCAATTCGTGACGGATATATCATTTATGCTTCTTACTATTGTGCCTTTACCTCTCATGTTAATGTTTGGTTTGATGACTGTTTGCAATATTCGTCAGTCAAGACGTCAAGTGGCTAATAGAGGTACATTGATGGTAAGAAACACAATGAGAGTTAATATGAATCAACAACGTCAATTAAGCAAGCAAGATCATAATTTAATAATAATGCTTCTCGTACAAATTATTATTCTTTTCATATTATCTATCCCATTGTGTTCTCAGAAGTTATACTCAGCAATAGTGGCTGATAGAACATCATCTGCATTACAGGATGGTATTGACGATTTGACTTATAATCTTGCTCAATTACTTCATTTCTTAGCAAATGGAATGCCATTCTACATTTACACCTTGGCTGGTGGAAAAGTCTTTCGTAAAGCTTTATTCAAATTCTTCGTCAATATCAGCCACCATGTATTTCATAGATGGCGATGACTTTTTTTATTCGACATAGCATCTGAAAATGTAGTGTTCATATCAAGGGGGAACAAACTGATTTCGTCATTTCGTAATTTCAAGTGACTTCAGTGATTTCAAATGATTTTGTGTCACGGGAAACAAGCAGACTTCCAGATTGTCAGAGTGCAGAAGATTTCGGAAGATTCCGAAAGTTTTTGAAAAAATTTCAAAGATTATAGATACCAATATCTCTTTTTCCCATTTATCAGAGATAATCAGTTTTTGCTTGTCTTTATCATAATGCTCCGATTATGCCTGGAAAATCCTCATAAGCGAGACCTTAGCTTTCAAATTATTTCTTAGCTATAGTAAGAACAAAACATATGATTGTTCGGGCCATATGAAAGACGACCCCCGAATAACCTTAAGGTTGGCGCGAACAACCCTATATTTCTCCTTACAATAACCAAGAAATAGCTTCCTTGAATGTAATTGCTCGATGCTGGAGATGTGCAGTTCAGATCGATGAGCTCTTACGTGATTGACTTGTACGGCTCTAGTTGTAAGGCGCCTTGTTTTAAGATTTCACAAGATTGCA